GAAGATGAGGGCTCATCTCTATGTATAAGCTATGTATTCTCCATTTCTTTTGCCTTAGTGAAATATTTGATTGATTCCCTCCCGTGGACGTAGATCCAGTTGGATCAAACCACGTAAACGATCCGTGTTTGCTTGTGTTATTTGCGTCTCATTTCTATGTCAGGAAGTACATATCTCACAACAGGAAGTTTATCAAATACATTTAAAAGGTCAAACAATTTCCAAATATGATTTGCGTCTCATTTCTATGTCAGGAAGTACATATCTCACAACAGGAAGTTTATCAAATACATTTAAAAGGTCAAACAATTTCCAAATATGACAAGTTTATAGTCGAATCGAGCATCTCAACAAGAAGAATCCAACGAGCCTAAGATTGTGCAATTCTAACATCATTAAGACACTCAAATGTCCATTAAACATATTTTGATCGGAGGAAGCTTTCTGGATCGTCTGATCAAAATAATTCATATTCATGCCCAAAACACTATAAATAGAGCGCCACCCCTTAGATGAGAGGAGAGACTTGAAGCGTCAGAGATAACTGGAAGCTCCGATAAGGAGATGAAGTCCAACACCATCACGATCGTTGACCACCGCCGATCATCATCGACCACCACCTGTTATCGTCGACACCCGTCGATCGCCGTCAGTCACTATCGATCGTCACCGTCGATCGCCACCAAGCTTCATCGATCACCACCAACCAAATGCTGTTAGTCGTCATCGTGAGACATGAGCTCATTACTACGGTTCATGTGTCAACAATGACCTACGTGGTTCATAGCTTGTGCAACTCCCGACTCTGGCCTCCACGACCTACGGACGTCATTAATACTCTCCCCTAAGACCTACCTAGTTCATAGCTTGTGTAGCTCCCGACTTTGACCCTCGTGGCTTACAAACGTCATTCATACTCACCCAAATAACCTAGGTGATTATCAGCTCATGCAGCTCCCGACTCCGACCCTCGCGACTTACAGACGTCATTCATACTCACCCAAACAACCTAGGTGATTATTAGCTCATGCAGCTCCCGACTCCGACCCTTGCGGCCTACGTATATCATTCATATTTGCCTCTACGACCTATGTGGCTCACAACTCGTGCGACTCCCGACTCTGGCTCGAAATGCCTACAGACATCATTCATACTCGCCACTACGGTCTATGTGATCCACAACTCCTGTAACTGCTTACTACAGTTTCTTTGGTCAATCAACGCTTCTGTAGCAACTATCAACAACACTTATAGACTGCTACCTCCACAACAAGCAGTAATGACCCTTGCAACATGCTGTCACCAAGAAATATAGTCAGATTATAGTTATACAACTTTGTAATTTCATCTTCCTTAATTTATGAGAAGAATGAACCTGTATAATAATCATTCATAGTAGATTATTTCAATTAGGCTATATCCCGTGGTTTTTCCCCCTTTCAAGGGTTATTCATGTAAAAATTCAATGTGTCTCATTCTGCATACTTCTCTTCTGTTATCTGTGTGTGCCGAATTCTTGTGTCACGCGAAGACGATAATCCATTACTCTACCGCCATAAATTTTCTGACACGCATCAGGCTTTCTTATGTCTTTCTATCAAGCTAATGTCAATATCAACCGACTCTTTCAATTTTCTTGCTTTTTATGTATATTTTCAATATTTTTGCAAAAACTTCTTAATTAGAGAACTTTGGGCTTGATCTATTACTTAAATAAGAGAGCAATTCTTATGCCACCTCAAAAAGGATGTCATGAAGCATATATATATGCTTTTCTTAAAGATGGTTATAACTTAGAATGAAAGAATAATTTTATTTTGTTGTTCTTTGTGTAAAAAAGAAGAGAATAAGCAAACATGCATGTACAATTAACATTGAAGTTGTCTTCTTGGTGAGTAATTCTATCATTGTCAATTAACATAGGCTAGATTCAAGACTAATTCATTAAGTCAAGAAGGGTCAGCTCATTAATGTCGTGAGGAGAATAACAAACTCACCATCAAGTTCATGTCAACCAAAAAATCTTATATCTCTCAGTTATGAGGCCATTAAAACAACCTAATAATTAAATAAACATATATGAACAAAAGTAATCAACATTGACCGTCTGATCAGGTGGCTAGGAAAGTTACATGTCAAAGGCCAAAACACCCATCCCTAAAAGATTGTTAATAAGCCTCTTCGCTTCACTTCAGAGGGTGGGAGAAGGAGAAGAAGAAGTGGAATTCTAGACTTTTCTTTTAAGAGAAAATCCGACAAGTAAATTCCGGCTTATGTAACCATGGATCAATGTCGACTACTGCCAACAGACCACCATCGACTGCCCCTAATCGTCACTATCTACCACCGCCGAACCTCAATAGTAGGTGACCCCTGCTTGCAATTGTTGTAGTGAAAATTTGGTTTGTGTTTACCACTTTGTACTTTTTGTGTAAGATTGTAACATTGTTCTCACAGTTTCAAGAGAAATGCATGCACATGTATTTATAAGCACATAATACATTTTTTTGATTAGGTTATGCCCTGTGATTTTTTCTCTTTTCAAGATTTTTTTACTTAAAAAATCTTGATGTTTCCTCATTTAATTCTTATGTGTGTTGGATCTTCATACAACACAAACATTAAGTAATTACTCTACTTCAACAAATTTTTTTGCATGATAAATTTATCTCTAATTTGCATTCCAAAGCACTAATTGACTAATTTCACGCGAATTATATTTTGATATACATCTTAATAAAGGGTAAAAACTATACCTCTATGGATTGCCTATAAATTGGGCATTTACATGCATAGCACACAATTCTCATTTATTGACATATCTAACAACCAATATTATTTATATGCATTACACTTGAACCCCGTCTCTCACTACCTTCCTGCTTTCCGTTTAGGGCTCGAATGCGGAAGCTCTCGGTGCTCTTGCGCTAGGTTTCATAGTTTTCATCTTTGTAGTGGGCACGGCCATTAGCAGACGGGGTTCTCTCTCTTTTTGTTTGTTTTGTTTGGTGGTTCTTCTCTTTTTGAAAGCAAGTAGGATCTCGCTCTTTAATTTGAATTTTTTTTTTCGGTGCTTTGATGAATTATTTCAAGTTAATGAGGATCCCCACTGCAGGATATACGGCTGATATGAAAGGCGAAAGCAAGGTAAGTGAATGTGAAGTATATGTCTTTTAGTTGTAGTAATATCAACTTTTATGTCGAATTCCATTGACAAATGGTTGTGCAGAGTAGATGATGTGCTTCTAAATTTCGTATTTTACTGTTATAAACTCTTTTGCTCAGTGAAGTGAATTGGAATTTTCAATTCAAGCATAGATTCTGCGTAACATGACTAGTCTGAAGTAAATGCCTGGGATTTTCAGCTATTTTTTTGGCTGCTTTTGTGTAGGATTGGGTTTGAGCATATGATATTTCATCTTTTCCAATTGTACTCACGATGAATCCAATTTTCGTCATCAAATAGAAAAAAAAATCCGAAAAAATGTCAAAATGACCTCAAACTTATCTTTCTCAGTCATGTTTACATCCTTCATTGCAAATGTTCAAAGATCAAACTTTGCATTGCAATTAAAATGACATATAAGAACATTTCTTTCTCATTATGCTTCCTGTAATTTTGTATTTGTCAGCTTCTGAAATTGAATATAAGCACCATGCTGGGGTTGCAGTGTGAGCAGTAGCATGGGTGCATGAACATAAGATGAGGAGATTTTGAAAATGTAATGCTGAAGAATTATCGCTAGTGCTAACTTTGCTTCCATCATAACCAAGTTCTGACCAATACAGATTCTTGCTCCCAATCCAAATGGAAGAAATGCAGCCATAGGCCTTTTGGTATCTGAGAACCTCATTGGATTAAACTCATTTGCATCTTCTCCCCAAATCTTAACATCATGATGTATGGCTAAAGTTGGGATGTAGAGTTGTGTTCCTGCAGGAATATGAAGGGCTCCTAACTTTACATTCTTGCATGTTTGCCTTGTTAGTGATACAACTGGCGGGTACAAGCGCAGAGTCTCACATAATATCATATTTACCTGTTGTTAATCAAAGAAGTCGTTTAGAGATGGAAGATGATATGCCATGATTTTTTTTGTGTTATTGTATTGTCCAAGGTAGTTAACAAGATCATAAACACCTATATTGTATATTCACTTTAAGCTTTTGTCACTATTAGTATTTATTATTTACTATAGTTTGAAAGTACTATCATACATTGTTTGAAACGTATTGCGAAATAGTAATTTTTATTTTCATTTTCTTAAAAAATATGCCTAAAAATAACATTTATAGTCAAATTTTCATAATTTAGTAGTATTTTTTTTTTCAAAAACTATCATTATATTAATTGAGATTTCACTCACGATAGTTCTTGTAAACTGTTATTAAGTAGTTAGGTGGATACTTTGATCGATTTATAGTATTATACAAGGCCATAAACATACATACTTCATCAAAGTAATAAGAGCTACTTTCATGTTTGATGTGTTATTCCTTTTTCTAGTGATTATTCTGACCTATTGCAACATCCGCCTTTCTCTATCTTGATTGGTTTTATTAATTCACATTGTTCATTCCATTGTAGTTTAGGTTTGATGAACAAATTGCCTTCTTTCCTCTAGAGGCTCTACTCATAAAATAAAAAAGTGTCATACAAGGCAATGATTGAGTTATTTGGTCAATCAGATATTTCTGGCTTTAACTTATTAGTAATAATTGGTGTGATAATTAAAGCCTATTTTTATGCTTATTACGTAGATCTCTCTTTTCAAATTGAGGCTGCCTTACTAAGAAGCATTGATTTGCTCACCAAAACTAATGTCTTTGCCGGGTCATTATTTTTGTAAATATATATGTATGTTGAAGGTCTGTAGAGATGTAAGGTAAGAGAAATAATATGTCAAAAACTTCCCAAATTGAGTGATAGTCAACTTTAGCTTGTTTTTTTTTTACTCACGACAAACTAGCCTGACAACAATTTAGATGACACTTGTATTGACAGCATTGTAGTGGAATTAGATTATTTTGAGGCATGCCAAGTTCAAGTAGAAGTTTATGAAGCCATATAACCTTTGAAATTGTTGTAGGCGTCATGCAGTATTCAGACTCCATAAATGATTTAAAAATATAGAGTTTCTTTTATTTTTCTTTGAGATTAAAGAATCATCAAGAAACATACATTATCTTTTGATCTAGTTATGGGAATGAGGTCACCCATCCCAATCTGCATTATTATAATACAAGATGATGAGAAGAAACAATGATCAACTAATTGACGGGGATTTTGTATAGATTGACTTGTTGAATTGTGAAGAAAATGTATGGTTGAAGAATTATCAAATAGTTTAAGCTACCCACCATAGTTGTCTAGCTGCCGTGATATTAGGGAGAAGATCATCACTGTCATTGCAATTATTTTTGTTTACCTATAATAAAGTATCCTCAGGGGAGGAATTTTGGAGGCCAACCAGGCAATTGGATTCTGTGTGTACTCATGTCAGTTGAGAAAAAATTCAATGCAATTATTTAACCTAAGAAGTAAGGGTACCTGGACTCTTCATATGAAATGTGACCTGAAGATTTTGTAGATAATTAAATAGAGCCAAATCAATCTCAATGATAACTATGTAATCAATTTGAACTAAAATTATAACAGTTCCACTGGATGTTTTATAAAAAATATTCTAGTTCAACTAAAAAAATGCATAGTAGGGTTGATCAATATTTATCAAATCAGGCATGGAGAGCTTGTTTCAATCTATATAGTAAATGCTTTAGTTAGCACAATTTCTTAATAGAAAAGGCAAAAACACTGATAGAAAACTCATAAATTTTTTTTTCTTTGAGACCACCGGAAAATAGTTCATTTGTAATCTCAATTTGGTGGTGTGACAATTCTTGTGAAGCAACTTGTAGACAATCGTTTGGACTATGATCTTTTTTTTTTCAAGAGCAAAATCTTTTCTTAGTTAATTCCATATTCTTGTTTCTCCAGTGCCTCATTTAAGCAAAATTTGATTGAGTAATCTCATTTGCATTTTATGGGTTTAAAATTTGAAAGCTGATGAGCAGTCTCCAATGTGTAATTATCGTCAATAGCCTGATTTTTTGTGGTAATGGCTTATTTGACAATCATGTTTACTGACCTCTGAATAACATGAAGGATAGAAGATTGAGAGCGGTGAAGTGTGAAAGCCATCTCTTAGAAGCAGTGGTCGAATTTTGCTAGCAGAGTCAAGTGAAGGGTTGATTTACAAGAGTTTGGGTGGCAGAGTTTTGAGTTAAGTAGTGATAATTTTGAACTTTTTTTCACATACAAATCTAGGCCTGAACCTTTTAGTGCTTTGAATTTAATTCATCAAAATTTGGAAGAACATGTATTTTTGGTGGAGGCTTAAAATGAGCAGCGAAGGATTGATTTTGAATGAATATGTTGTGATGGGAGGTTTAAAGTCTTTTGGAGTATGGCTCTTAACAAATATAACCATTATGAGAAGTGATATATCTCATAAATGCACATTTAATAGACTAATAGGAGAGTTTATGGCATTCATGGGCTGAAAGATGGGCAAAATAAGAATTTCAAAGTATATATAAATCATTATAAATGGAATTTTTTTGAAAGAGATGCCAATTATAAGAGTCAAATTTTAAAGTATGTGAGGAGAGCATTTTAATTAGGTATATTGCGGTGCTTCATGCTTCAACCCAAAATATAGTTGTGCCAGAACATTGTAATCCACCTTCTGCTGTACCTCCACAGGCTCTTCCCAAGGAGGGGTATCCTGTACAGGAGGAACTGGATTGTTTGAAGCATCAACTTGTCTTGTATTCTCTTTCGGTGCCATTCTGGGAGGTAGTACTTTTCCACTTCGAAGGTTGACTTCCATTATGTCTTCAGACAAAGGTGTAATGGCTTCTGGGTTTTCTTTCGCAACAACGGGAGGGTGAATCATATATATATATATATATATATATATATAATTCAAATGATGTTTTAATATAAACAATAATTTTTAAATCTTGCCCCAACTCTTTACATTTTATGGCTATGTGATTAGGGTTGTCAAAACGACTCTTTACATGAACAGCTTGTGTTTGACTCATTAAGCAAACGAGCTAAACGCGAACACACTTTTTGAGCTTGAAATATAAACGAGCCGACCACGAGCTCGTTTACAGCCCTAGTTGTAATTGAAGATTTAAGTAACAAGGGTTTAAAACTTCTAAAAGGTTTCAATTTTCATGTTTAATAACACAATTTTATTGAGGTGTATATGGACATGATCTTTGAAAACAATGTTTTATTTTTATTTTAAAAAAAGTAATGGAATTTAAGTGACATTTATTCACCTAAAGAATCTGATGATATGGAATGAGAATTCGGTTTTAACTCAAGCAATAAATTTTTAAAAGATTATGAATACTTTAAATTTTTTATTAATAAGAGAATTCCTAGCATATTTTCTATCAGTGTCAATGGATGTTATAAAGTATTTGATAATTTACAATGATATTATAGGAGTGATTCCCATGCTTCGGTGTGAATCAAATCAAAATAATTTCTTCATGTCTATCTTGTGATAGAAAGGTAACTTACATTTTTAAAACTTTTCATATGGAATAATCAATTGAGTGATGGCAAGAAAACTGGTCATTTTTGCCCAGTAAACCAATGTTTATTAAATGAGATAATTTTACAAAAATATGATGACATGATGGTTTGTTTATAGATTATCATTTCTAGTCACAATAATACTGGGCCAAGGGACAACCACATCAATAGAATCTAAAGGAAAAAATTGTCTAATGTTAGGTCACTTCATGAATATTTTCTCTGTTATCTTTTCTAGCACAAAACAATCATCATGAGAAAATAAATTTTATAGTTTATGGTAAATCAATTTTGTTCTTGAGATAAAATTAATAGAATGCCTAGGAGATACAAGTGAAATACTAGTCATTAATTGGCTATCATTAGTTATCTGAATAGATGATGATCCATGATATTGTGAAACATTATGAAAATGTGAAATACTAGTCAAATGGTATGCTGCATCAAATCTAGGAGTCATATTAAATGAGATAATGCCTTTTACGAGTGCCAAAAATTGCCCTGACACACCAACTTGACTCAAACCTGCTCAAAAAGTCTGGGCTCGAGCTGAATTAATTAAGTTTTGGGTCAGGCTCAGGTAAAAAATCTCGTGAATATTTTTTGCGTTGGGTTTAGATTGATTTGCCAATTCGAAATTGATTGGCCAACAAAAAATTGATCTGAATTTGACACAAAATTAAAATTTGACCCGAATTGGTGTATTGCATATGTTAAATGAGTTATGTGGATCAGTTGGGTTGAAGGCGGGTCAAATTTGGGTTAGTTGTTCTGACTTGCTTAATATTTGGGTTAGCTTTACGTCAAGTAGTTTATGGTCTATTCAATTTTGGGTTAGATCTAAACTCAACCTGCGAACTTGATTTGACATCTTTAGTGCATTTGTTCCTTATAGCCTAGGCTAATACTACTTTAAATATCATCCGTTGAACTAGCTTAGGAGCAACATCTCTTTTATCCATAGTTGCTTAACCAATACCCTTATCAATATCAACATCCTGTGTAGAATATGATTTGCTAATCTTGAGGATTTTTATGACATTACTTAACAATGTGCCCATGCTTCTTATAATAATATTTTTTGTACTCAAGTGGCAACAAAATGCCCATAATCCTTGCAATTGAAGCATTTTATTGTTGCATATTTTTTCCTTTATTCTTCACATGAATTACATATGTAGTCGTTTTTTTTGTAAACTTGATATTATTGAAATATGTTTTGTGCTACAAGTCATTGCTCATCACAATGTAGTTCTCTAAATCACAACACCCAAAGAAGGAGAAAATTCACAGGTCAACAAATTTAAACGAACAACCTCAAATTTATGATGAAGATTTATCAAGAATTAATATCCTTTGCTTTTTTTAAAACTTCTCAAATGGACCAAAGTGTTTCAGAAGATAGTTTTACTTAAATTGTATCGACTAACTATTTTTCTATGTTTTGAATTATAAAAATATAATTTTGAGTCGAGGTCTCCTTGAGTGGAATTAGCTATCTAATATTCTAGTTAGAAATGTTTTGTGGTATTATCACGAATGTAAAATTTCATAAGCACTCTCAAATATCTTTTCCCATCTTATATGACCTTAAATTAGAAACAATTACCTGGTCAATGAATCCTAAGATTTAAGTGTTATTGACTCTTGCGTCTTTATTTTTACTATTGAGCTACTTAGATGGTGTATGTTGACTTGAATCACTCCCCACTAACATGCCCTCATAACTTTGCCGATTTAGATGGTGTATGTTGACTTGAATCACTCCCACTAACATGCCTTTATAATTTTTCTTATAACAAATAATTGAAATTGAAATTTCCATATAGAATGAATTTTACATGTGAGAAGCACTCCAAAAACGTCAATATTATTTGTTGTTATATTTGACATATTTAACATGATCTCAGGAGCTTTCACCACAACGAGCAGTGCAAAAAAATAATCTGTCAATTTTGAATGGGCTTAAAAAACTCTTGGATGGAATGAACTCATGCTGATCTAGTAATTTATGTTGCAGATTTTAGATTGTGCAAGTAAAGCGTTGAAAAATGAAGTGAGTCAAACGGGCATGAGCATTGTGTGATAGAGTAGCTAAGCAGGAGCGGTGGGATTAAGGTTCAGTGAACAAGCAAGTAGTGTTATCATCCTCCGATAGATTATATATTGCAAGTAAAGTGAGGGAATGAAGCAAAGGAGTTCTGCGAGTGGACCCAATGCATTGAGCAATTTGAGAGTGGCTATTGAGCATTGTTTGAAATCGGCGGAATGTGGGCAGGCCAATCGCTGGCAACAAACCCTTATGGATCTTCACAAACCCTTCATGGCATTCGACAATGATAAATCGATGTTCATACAATGAATGCTTGACCAAAAGATGTGATCTGTCAGGCCTCATTTCATTTTCTTGAGGGAGTCAAAGAGGGGGAAGATGAAGCCAGGAATTGGAAACATGAAATGATACTTTCGTGTATAAAACTATGCGTAGGAACGATGCTATATAGCCGTGTGGCTTGTCTGTGGTGAATGAAGACGGGAGGAGAAGAAGAAATCGATGGAGAAGACGAGGCGCCAAAGGAGGTGGAGGCTCATGTGTGTGATAAGAGTCGAACATCGCACTTTGTTGGGTAGAGTCAAGCCCTAATCGGGGAGGCATCGACGTCGTGCTCGCGTGTACAGAAAGAAACAGTTGAGCTTGTGTGGGAGGGAGTCGAAGCCAGAGCTCTCGTGACATGCGAGGGCAAAGAGTACGACGAGCGGCTCGTGGCATTCAATGCGAAGGAAGAAGACGAGCAGAGTGCAGAGGATGAAGGGAGAAGAGCAGCGACTTTGAAGGAGAATCCCTCATGCGATTTTTTATAAAAGAAGTAAGAATAAGTTTTCTAGCAGAAGCACACCTTATAGAATTATAGAAAGGATAAAAGTCCTAAAGGAAAGACCCATACCGTCTTCCTCTGATCAAAAGGGAGCCCTTTATTGAACTTCAACCGTGGGAACACACTCTTACTCGAAAGAAGGAAAGTCAATACAGGTGCCGCTTCTTTAATCGTAAAGTGCTTCCCTTGATCGGGTTGACGAGCTTACCCTGGGTTATACTAGAATAGCCAGATTGGCGAACTAAAGAAGAGTCATAATAAGCCAAGAAGGGGAAATGAAACCTCTGAGATCTTCTTCGAATCCGGATCCAGATATGGAACATCTCAAAAAAGATCTCTCTGAACATATCTAGCGCCTTCTTAATCTCAAACTCAAAATGAGTTTTCAAAAGAGTGTTCATTAGTTGACAGCTATTTAGTAGTAACCATTTGGATTTCTTCTTATGTATTAAGTCTTAATAGCTAGAAGGAATCTGACTGTAAGCTAGTAGTCCAACTACTGTACCCTGAGAATACTAGCAGTAAGTAGTATGTTTTTCCAGATGTTCAGAGAATTCTCCCATAGAATTAGACAGATCGCCTCGAAGCTGACTGAGGCAATGACCAGAGAGAGTAGATCTGGCTTCCGGCTATGAGGATGGCGAAACCCATTATCATCCTGACATAACAGACTCTAGAATTTCAAAATGTGTTTGAGATCAATATGAGAATGAAAGCCTGTCAGCGGTTAAGTCAGCGAGACCATAAGCCCCTTTATAGATAGGGGCGGTCAGAGGCACTGTCAACCTTAACCGGCACACGCACCTGCATAATCAACTGATCCCGAAACTTCCCTCAGGTTAAACAACCGAATCTCCTAGCTCCACAAATGGGTAGTATGAACAAGTCGGGAAATCTATTGGCTGTTGTAGTAACTGGTTGGTGTAGGAGCATACGCATAAGAAAAAAGCCAATTTTTTCGTATTTTCAGGTAAAAGACCAAGCCGATCGAATCAAAGAAGTCAATAACTCACTCAATAAGAGGATCTTCTTAAAGAGGTAGAGTAACGGGAATTTTCACGGCCTATAGGAACCAGGCTATCCACTGCTTTT